CTCGTTGAATGAATCTGCGTCTTCACCCCACCAACGTCATCCTTCCTGGGTTCACATCAGTCTCTTTCCAGAACATCAGAAGTGGCCTGAGTTCGGGCAAGTCCAGTGAACTCTATTTTAATTAAAGAAAAGAGTTGGACCTACCTCTCACACTCTGATTTTAGGCCCTTCTTAGAACGCCAAAGATCCCTGACAGCAGTTGTATATCAAGAGCCTAAGACCTTAGTGGAAAATTCATCAAAAGAACAGGGTGAAGAGGAACCTTTATAAGCAGCATGTGTGAGCTTTGTTCGGGGCCAGGCATTGCGACTCTACATGTAGTTGATTACTCCCAGAGTCTTTAATCCTGGTTTTGTGTTGCAGAAGAGCGGTTAAGGTGAAAATAACCTTTACTGAGCACCTACTATGTTCCAGGCACCATGCTAAGCAACTTTACAAACATTCTTCATTTTAACAAAGCCTAGAGGACTCAGCACAGGGTAGGAGCCTAATAACATCCATCCGCCCTGGGAGGTAGGCGCTATTGTCAATTCTTTGCAGATGAGGCAGTAGAACCAGAAAAGGACAGATTTGTGCCCATGCCACACAGCACATAAAGCTGGGGACAGAGTTCAAGCCCGGGGTGTCTGTTTGACACCAGAGCTCTTTCCTGCCAGCCAGGGTTCCTCCTCTCTCAGCAGGGATTGGCCACTGGGAACAAGGGATGGGGAGTGGAGCAGGAAGCCAGAAGCCTGGGAGCTGTTCAGGACTCGCGGTGCTGAAAGGGAGAGCACGTTGAGCCAGGCACAGACTCCCAGCTGGGGCAGGGCTCAACTTGCCCTCGCCATGACGTCATGTCCCTCTCTCACCTTGACTATGCTCCCCAAGTCCCACATTCCCAGCTGCCTCTCCTGCCACCACTCAGGCCAATGTTCTCTTAAACTGACGACTACCAGACTGCTGCTAGATGACAGGAAGGACGATCTGTTTGTCCCTCAAACCGACCACAACCCTAAGTCTCACCAGGACCAAATCTCCAGTCCAAGGCATAAGAGAAGGAGCAAGGTCATGGACAATGCAGAAACATTTAACCTATGGTCTAATGATATGCATGTTTTCATGATTTATGTTACAGCTCTGGCCTGGTCCCTCTCTGGGCCATTCTCCAAGCTGTAGCCAGAGCCCCAGTTCTGCAAGTGATGTAATGACTCTCCTGACAAATCCAAGAGGCCTCCCATCACCCTCAGGATGAAGTCTTCACTCCTCAGCATGACACTCAGTGTCCTTCAAGACTTGGCCCTACCTACCTCCACCTTCATCTGTCCCCATGACCTACTTGCCCTTCTTCTTTAGCCATTCTAAATGTCCTATGTATGGGGCTGGTGGCAGGGATAAACATTTCAAACAAAAGGAACAGCAGGTGCTAAGTCCTGGTGCTCTGGCAAGAGTCACCTTAGGCATCACTCCTTACGGAAGTCTCCTCTGGCTGACCGCCTCTCCCTGAAGCCATTTTCTGTGCCCTTGATAGCTCTGCATACAGAACGTGCTTCTGCCCCATCACTCAGACAAAGGAAGGAATTACCCTGCTGTGCTTCCTCCTGGACAGTAAGCCAGCACCTCTATGATGTTTTATGCATTTGGAATCACTGGCACCTATCTGCATGTGAGCAAGTAAAAATAAACAGAAGAGCCAGGTTGTTGTTTTTTTAAAGAACTTGTTTAATAGAGGCTGATGTATACAGAAATAATAATAGCTAACCCTTACGTATCTGGCACTTGCTAAGTGTTTTATGAAAACTCATCAAAGCCATGCAGTAATCATCAAATCACTGTGAGGTACACGTCCTTGTTATGCCCATTTTACAGATGGGAAAACTGAGGCAAAGGAGGTTACGTAACTTCCCTCAAGGTAACCGAGCCAGAAAACTGCACAGCAAACATGCTTATGCAGACAGTCTGGCTTCAGTCCCAGCCCTTGTCCATTCCACCATCTGCCTGGCTGCGGAAGGGGGACCTAAATGTGGGAGAGGCAATGGAACTCTCTTCCAGAGCCAGGAAGGTTCTAATGTTAACATTGAGTTTGTTCTCTGCATCAGCAGAATCTAAAGCTTCTACCAGGGTTATCTCAGGGAACTTGGGCATCCAAAGCCCACCCAAACCCAAACACCAGGGTGCCAAGCACCAGCCTTGGCAACAGCAAGTGGCAGGACTGTACTCTCACAGCTGGAAATGGCCCGGCTAAGGGCCCTTTCCTTTATCTTCTCTGCCAGCCCCACCTAGCCCTCCCTCCCCAGCTGCCAAGACCCTGCTTCCCACCCCCTGCACCTGGCTGCCCCTGGCAGGCGGCCCCAGACCCCTTGTGGAGGATAAGCTTCCCCCAGCTCTCAGCAGCTGCCAGGCCTGGCGTGCCAGAAGTTCCACGTTAGGTTGATGGCCCCGCACAGCCCTATGGAGCTGCTATTTTTAATTTAATTGGAGAGTCGGAGGAGAGAGATGATACCCAGTGAGAGAGTTTTAAAGGCTTTCAGGGTAGGGAGGGGGGAGAGAAAGCAAAGAAAACTTCGTAATTATACACCAGGAAGCCAGATTTGATGCTTGAACAGAAAGGTTAAATGTTACATTCAGAATAAAATGAGAAACAGAGTTCTGATGACAGTTGCCCAGAGCTAAATAAGGAAAAAAAAATACCCCTTTGCCCAGCTCCCTCTGCTCCCTTATACTCGTTTCTGCGTCTCCCCCTTCTTCTGTTTAAGGCTCAGGAGTGCGCAAACAAACCGGCTTGGAGCACAAAGAGTCCCTCTCAGTCTATCTGACTATCTATCCCCCTGGTCACCACCCAAAAGCAGCTTTCACTCAAGCATGGCAAAATCCTCATCACTCAGGCCAAGAGGTCCAACAGGGTGCAGAAAACTGGGAAGGTGATCTGGCACTGTAGGTAACAACATGGGCTTAAACACAGATGGACCTAGGTTCAAAACTCTCCTCTTCCACGGGACAGCTGCAGTGGGTCAGCTCACCTAATGCCCATGTGCCTCCTATTTCTTTAAGTAATGAGATGGAAGCAGAAGTCTGCAGGTGAGGCTTTCCCGACACGGAGATAGACTCAGATGGCACATTCCTTTCACCCTCCCTTTTCCTGCGGGACATTTAGGCAGGATGCCTGGAGCTGCTGCAGCCATTTTTTGATCTTGAGGTAACACATTAGAAGTGGAAAAATGGAAAGATAGAAAGAGTCCTTGGTGATATAGATATACAACTATCCCTCTGGTCTGCTTACTTGTTACCTGAGACAAATTCCAATACGTTTCAGCCACTTTTAGTCTAGTTTTCTAGGGATGCTGAATCCATTCTAACTTGACAATCCCTTATTAAATAAGCTTCAGCTTGTGTGTGAGCCTGAGCAAATGCTTATCACTCCTAAGCTCCAATTTTCCTATTTACAAATGGAGAAATATATCACCCATTGCATGGTGCGCCTGTGAGGATTAAACGCGACTCCATTTGTAAAGAGCTCACCACAATGCCTGGCAAGGCACAGTGGCTGCTGTTGTTATAAATACTCCTAATTAATAGGCGAGAAATACAAGATTACAAAATTTAAAGTGACATCTCGTATTTTAATAGCACTTTCTGGTTTTCAAAGTGACTTCTCATCCCTCATCCTAGCTCATCCTCAACCCCAAACCTCTGACAAAAGGCAATGTTGCTCCTTCATGTATACCTGATAGACTCAGAGTTTAAGCAACTTGCCCAGCTTAGCTAATGACAAGGCCAGCCTCTACCTCAAGTGTGGTTCCAAGTACCTGGGGCCTGGGCCAGGCTGGCTCTGAGCTGTTCTGCTAAAGAAGCATCATGCCAGACCCCCACTTCTTTCCCTGGAGACCACCGATGGCTCAAGTTTGGGGGTAAATCCGTGGCCAAGAGAATACAGTTCCCATGTCAAAGACAAGGGGAGCCGGCCTCTGGCCTCCAACTTCCTCCTCCTGTCCCTGAAACATCGGGGTTCCTTGGGCCTTCATCCTTGACCTCTGTTACTCTATTCTAGTTCCCAACATTGGAACCAAGAGCTCCCTTCAGAAGCAATGGTATAACTCAGTAGTTATATCAAAGACAGTGGCCCAGTCTGGATTTGAACCCCACTTTTGCCCCTTACCAGAAAAATATCTGTTAAATAAATAGTACGTATGACTCCTTTCTCTGTATTAGTCAGAGTAAGCAACACAGCTGCTGTAACAAGCAACCCTCACCTCTCAGTGGCTGACCATCACAGACTACTCCTCACGCCCCAGAGCAGTGCAGGTGGGGGCAGGGGCTCTGTCCCACCCAGTCATACAAGCTCCTTCCATCTGCAGCTCTACTGTCCCTCCCCCCCCATGGGATCCCCCAAATCCCGCAGGCAGATAGCGCTATTTTAAGGGTCGGACGCACATGAACTGGCCAGCACTTCTGGTATGGTCACATGGTCCTACCTAACTGCCAGGGGGCTGGGCAGTGTTACCTCCCAGTGTGCTGAGGAACGGGGCAGGGCACAGTCCCCGACAGTCTCCAGTGGTCTCAGCCGACCTCATCGAAACTAGGCATCCCTGCAATCCCCCAGATCCCATGATTGTGCTACATTTGATTTATGTCATCCTTCATCATCAAAAACACAGTGACTTACGTATGCCTGCATCCCCACAGTAGGTGGTAATCTCTTAGAACCAGAAATCTCCTGCCCCTTTTTCACCTCCACGCCCCCCATGCCCGGCGCAGAACCCGGCACATAGTACATTCTCAGCTGTTTATCCAATATTACTAATAGGAACTTGGACTTGAACAGAATGTTGGGACATCTGGGGTGAATGGAGAGAAAGAACGTGGCTGTGGAAGAGCAGGAGGCTCTAGACCCTTACCCATCCTGCTCAGCGGTCACCCAAGTTCAACAGCTACCCAGGCCCCATGCTAGTTCTCACGTACTCACGGGCCCTAGGTCTCCCCAAGGCACTGCCCACACTGCCCCCATTCATCACAGAAGGCGGCTCTTGCTCCAAACAAGTGGTTTATTTGCATATATAAAACAAGACCCCTGCCACGCGGGAAGGGCACTCTTCCCTGGCCAGAGTGTGGAGGACTAGAAACTTCAGCTCTCCCCAGACTTACCCTCCCACTGCCCTACTCAGTAAGAACCCTCTCTTGCCCCAGTTAAAACCTGCTCTCCTAAAAGAATGGACAACCCAACTGAGATGCCAGTGAACAGTAAGTGGCTATTAGGTAGGGAGATCTGGCAGCTGGCCACTCCCCTCCTAATAACAGACCACCCCTGGAAAAACTGTCCCCTGGAGGGTGTCCAGGGATGACACCCTGTCCTCCCATGGGTTGGCTCCCATTTTTGAAACAAGATAAAACCCCAACACTTAAAAAGTCCTCCATGAGTTCAGAATTCCAGCGCCAGGCAACCCCACCCCTGCCCAGACCCTCTCACTGAAACGAATCCACCCACGTCCATCTGGTGAGAGCCAGGTGCTCCGCATAAGCTGACAGGTCACACAGCCTCTAGCTCTCATCGTACTCCACCTTGGTTATCCACTCAGACTTGTAAGTCGACAGATGAGCCACAATAGATGCTCCCAGCCAGACACTACATTTTCTTCTGGAATCGACACACACCGAGGCTGTGAAGCCGGAGGGATGAAGTCTGGACAACTCCTGCCTCAGGCGCTCGTCAAAGCCACTGTACATGGTGTTGCCCCCGCAGGCTATCACGTGGGAGAGGAGCCGGGGCTGCAGGGAGTCCTCACACGTCTTGATGGAACCCACGAGAGCCTGAGAGAGGCTGGGCGATTTCAGGTCGAACACCTCGGGGTTGAAGAACATCTCGGGGGCCAGGCGCTGCATGGGGGTCAGCTCCATGGAGGTACCGTCCGGGAGCTGATAGGTGTTGTTTTCATCAGAGCCAGGTGGCAGGTTCTGAAGGAAGTCTATTGCCTCCCCAAGATTCTGTGGCGTGTAGCATTGGTTCATCTGAATCCTGTCCGCCATCTGCATCCGAAACACGGTGGGTATATCGGACAATTCCGGAAAGAGGGTCTGTTTGAGATAGGTGGAGAGGTCCTGGCCGGCGAACTCCAGCACCTTACGGCCCTCCCGTAAGGGCTGGCCCAGGTTGAAAGGCTGCACTCGGGTGAGGCCGAAGCCAGAATCCACCACCACGCCTGTCAGGAGGCCAGAGGCATACAGAGACATCTCCAGCTGGTCAGCCAGGAGTAGGGACGGGACACACAGTGACTCAAACATGATCTGCAAGAAGAGAGAAGACAGACAGGCAGGGCATTTTCCTCGGACAAGGGCCCTGATCCGTTTCCGTTTCACCTAACACCGTGCTGCGCCCAGCTCTCAAAAGGGAAGTTGGCACTTAAGGAACTGGCGGGCTGCCCTTAGAACTTTGGGCCCCGGCCTCCCCACCCCCGGAGCTCCCCCCACCTGCCCTAAGGTGATCAGAGAGGGGCTCTAGAGGATCAGATTCGAATTGCCATCAGGAGCTTGTTGACGGTGGCCTTTCAGAAGACTTTTCGTGGAGGGGTGGGAATGGGAACGGCCATCAGGCTGCCAGAAGTGGTGCTGAGGGTTATGGGGACACCGGGGGAAGAGGTGGGGGCCACGGCCAAGGGCCAGCGGTGCGGCCGAAACTATTTCTTCAGAAGAGGGAAGAGGAGATAATTAGAAAAGCAAGAAGTGCAACGTATCCATGACACCGCCTCCCAGAAAGTGGGGGTGTAAAGATCATGCCCCTCGCCTCCTGGGAAGTGAAGACTTACTTGTTGTTGTTCTTTTGATTCAAACTTCGAACATCAAGCCAACACTTTAGCAGTGGGCAGAGTCCCTTGGCTGATCTTCTCCCCCTGCCCATCGCCCCTGGATTCTTATGGCACTCCCACACGGCTCCCCACTTCCCCAGCTCTGGGTGTACCCCCCAAGTTGCCGACACTGCAGATGCAGGAAGGCTATCACAGTCCACTTTTCGGTGGCCTGTGGCCACCTACCCACCTCTTTGGGCCCTGGAGCCCTATTTTCTCCCCTGCACGGGAGAGAGCTCCCTCCATTCCCACAGTCAGAGCATCATCACCACCCACCCCCACCACCAACCATCCACTTTCCAAATAGTAGCCAACATCCCCTTTTTCAAAGAGAAAATCACGTGCGACTCCCCCATTAAAACTCCTCAGGAGCTTCCTACTCATTGGAGCGGCAGTTGGGAAGCATTTTCTGTAAAGGGCTAGAGCGTCAGGTTGCCCGACATAGCAAATGAAAATGCAAAATACCCCGTTAAATTTGAATTTCAGTTAGACAACAAGTAATGATTAATATAAGTATGTCTTAAGTAATACCTGGGACATACTTCATCATACTAAAACATCTGTCCTTGTTTCTCTGAAATCCCAGTCTAACTAGGCACTGTGTATGTTACTTAGCAAACCTACAAAAATAAATATTTTATGCGCTCCACAATCACTAACACAACCACTCCACTCTGCTGTTGTAGTAAAAGCAGCTGTAGATGATATGTAAATGAGTGGGCATGGCTGTGTTCCAATAAAACTTTATTTATAAAAACAGATGCGGGGGCCACATTTGGCACAGCGGCTGTAGTTGGTCAGCCCTTGATTTAAAGTAAAATCCAAGCGCTTTCCTCGGCCTACCAAGCCTGCCAGCTCTGGCCCCTGCCAACCTCGCCTTCCTGTCTCTCTCTTGCACCGGGATCCAGCTGCGCCAGTGAGCTATTGTCCCACTCCATTTTGTTTCTGGGACTGACCACTATGCGGAATCCTTTTTTGTTCACTTATTCACAGTCAAGTCTTCCCCAGAAGGTAAGCTCTTGGAGGGCCAGAATCTGATCCATGAACATGACTGAATGTCTGGGGTCTCCCAGGAACACCCTCGCGAGAGCATTCTTCCTGCTGCATCTCTACCTGTGGCAGGAGCCTATGTGAGTCCCCGTGCCCAGGGCCAGGCACCGGGAGGTGCTCAGGAAACATTCGTGGGGCAAATGACTAAGAAAGAAGCCTGACATCCTGACGGCCGATCGTGTCCAAGCACAGAGGGCCAGCTGTTCCCTGCTCCTTGGTCATGGCAGCCCCCAGAAGGACTTACCTCCAGGGTCTTCTTTCGGTCCACAGGCCTCCTCAGGGGGGACTCAGTGACCAATACAGGGGAGCTCTCACATCCCTTTTTGTGGTTCTCCAGGACAAAGGACCATATGTGCTCCACGCCCTCCCAGTTGAGGACACGGCCGCGCTGGATGGGGTAGCTAAAGGTGTCAGGATGGAAGATATCGATGCCGAGACCCACCACCCGCCGGGCGGAGCTGGGGCCAGGATTCTCCCTGCACGGCCTGTAGTTCACGATGTTCGGATGGACCATCTGGGGCTCATTCCAGCCAGAGAAGCCAGACTTCACATAGCCAGACCCGTGGTCAATGACGATGGTCCTTGCAGCCATGGCAGAGGCAGGGGAATGAGGGGGAGGTGTCTTTTGAACTCGGCTTCTCAAGGGTGGTTTGGCCACCTGTGGAAAGAAAGGATGGGGGCTCTCTGTGAACCCATTCTGGGACACTGTGGGGTGCATCCCACTCTCCGCCCCACATCAAACCTCAGGATCCCCAAAAGCCTGCCCGTTCCCCCTTCCAAGCATTTGCACAAGCTGTCACTTGCACCTGGAATGTCCTTCCCATCCCAAACTCCCAATCACCCTACGAGGGCCACCTAGCCAGCCCGTCTGAGAACCCTTGTCTGTGACACCAGGAGGGCACGTCAGCTTCACAACAGCAGAGGACGGGCCCTATTGCCCTTTGCAGGTTCGGCAAGAAGTTTGTCACCCAGGGAGTACTTGGTGGTGGTTGGGGACACATGGAACATGACCCATAAGCCTCAGGGGCCATCAGTAATGCAACAGTGATTACCTTCCACAGCAATAGTGTAGGAACAATAGCAGTGACAATGGCAATGACGACAGTAGTGACAGCTGTGGCTGCCATCTCGGAAGTCCATGCTCTCTCTCTAGTACTAGGAGGGACATTTTGCACATTAGGTTGAATGATGGAAAATTACCATTCGTATCCATCCAAAAATGGTCCAACACCAGCCATTCTGTATGTTCTGATCTGATAACTCATGCAATCCTCACCACAATCTGTAAAGCAGGTAGCCTTGTTACGGCCATTTTACAGAGGGGGAAACTGAAGCACGCTAGCGCTAAAAACAGAGCTGAGAGGTAAACACAAATCCGGCTCCGAAGGCCACTCTGAGCATCGGGTGAGGCATGATATGATGTAGATTTTGAGGATGGGCTGAGCCGATAACTGTGAGTGAGGCATCTCACCACGATGCGGTCAGTTTCCCCACCTGTGACAGGGGGAGGATCATACCTCTGTGCTGAAAAAGTAGGCGTGGGCATTGCCTGATTTCCAGGATCACCATAAAACTACAGTGCCAGTGACGAGATGTCGTCACATAGATCCACGGAGAAACCAACCCCCACAGAAAAGGTGAACTGGTCTTTGACAACATGCTAGACAATGACATGGAGGAAGAACAGGCTTTACAGCCAATAAGAGGGAGTGATCAGATAACCATATGCTAGAGAGAGAGAGAGGAAGGAAGGAAGGAAGGAAGGAAGGAAGGAAGGAAGGAGGGAGGGAGGGAGGGAGGGAGGGAGGGAGAGAGAGAGAGAAAGAAAGAAAGAAAGAAAGAAGAGAGAAAGAGAGAGAGAGAAAGGAAAGAGAGAAAGAGAGAAAGAGAGAAGGAAAGAAAGAAAAAAAAAAGGAAGGAAGGAAGGAAGGAAGGGAAAGAAAGAAAGAAAATGAACTTTAAGGTATGGAACACCTCACACCTTATAAATAACTAAGTCAAAATGAACCATTTGTAAAACCTAAAACGAAAAAGCATTTTTTTTTTACAAAACAGGAGAAAATCATTATAACCTTAGGTAAGGTAAAATTTTCTCAGATGTAACATCAATAGCCTGATACATGAGCGAGCGAAATTGATGGATTGGTGTTCATCAAACCTGAGGACTTTTGCTGTTCAAAAGACCCTGTTGAGAGAATAGAAAGGTGAGCCTTGGACCAGGAGAAAGTACGTCCACATCCCACGTCTGACGAAGACCCTGTATCCCCCAAACACAAAGAGCTCACAAAACCCAACGGTAAGAAAAGCACCTCCATTTTTTAAATGGGAGAAAGATTTAAACACTCTGGGAAAGAAGATGTAGGATGAACAAACACACGAAAAGATGCCCAACCCCATTAGCTTTTAGAACGCGGAAAGTAAAACCACAGTGAGCCACTACCGCACACTTACGAGGACGCCTCCAGGGAAGGCGGGATGCGAGGGGGAGGCACGGGGCCCTCCGACGCTGGGGGCTGTGCTGCAGCGGGGCACGGCGGCTTCTTGGAAAGTTAGATGTACCGACCGCACGACCTAGTTTCTGCACTCCAAGGTATTTACCCAGGAAAAATGAAAACTTATATCCACACAAAGATCTTTAGGTATACATATATAGTAGCTTTATTCATAATCACCAAAACCCAGAAACGACCTAAATATCCCTCAGCTGGCTAATGGGTAAGCAAATCTCCATTCAGTGGAATGACTCTGGACTATAAAAAAAAGCCGAATAACACAGTCACACGAGTAAATCTCAAATGCATTAAAGCTGAGTGAGAGCAGCCAGACTCAAAAGGCTACAGACTCTATGACTCCACTCATAGCACATTCTGGAAAAGGCAGGACAAGGAGGACAGAAAACAGACCGATGGCTCCCAGCAGCAGCAGGTGGGGAGAGGAGCTGACCCCTGGGGTCATGGCAGAATATGGGGGAGGGGGTCAAAACTTGGCTTGTATTCTGCTTGTGGAGGTGGACGCACAGCTGGAAGCATTTGTCAAAACTCTCACAGCCACACACTATAAAAAGTGACTTTTGAGCCCTGGCTGGCATAGCTCAGTGGATTGAGTGCGGGCTGTGAACCAAAGCGTCACAGGTTTGATTCCCAGTCAGGGTACATGCCTGGGTTGCAGGCCATGAGCCCCAGCAACCGCACATTGATGTTTCTCTCTCTCTTTCTCCCTCCCTAAAAATAAAGTAAATAAAATCTTTAAAAAAAAAGTGACTTTTGGCCTGGCCAGGTAGATCAGTTGATTGGAGCCTCACCCCATGCACCAAAAGGTTGTGGGTTCAATTCCCAGTCAGGGCACAACCCAGTCAGGTTGCAGGTTTGATTCCACAGTTGGATTACATAAAGGAGGCAACCAATCAATGTTTCTCTCTCACATCAATGTTTCTCTTTCTCTCTCCCCGCCCACCCCCCCAGCCTGCCCCAGATCAGTGAACATACCCTCAGGTGAGGATTAAATAAATAAATAAATAAAAATAGAGTGACTTTTACTCTAAGACGTTTTAAGGGAATAACCCAGGGCTGGTGGGACAAATGGAAGGTTTACGACACCACCTGGCAGCACACCAACCACCACACAGCAGACTCAGTGCCCAGGACGCGCGTGGGTGTCCCGTGTCAGAGAGACATCCAGGCAGGCTGTTCTGCCCGCAGGCCGCTTCCCAGGCTGTCGCCCCACCGGCTAGCTATCTGCTCGGCCTCGCAGTCACCTCCGTCCGCCCCTGTGGGGCATGATGGCCACTGCCCGGCTGTGGCCGTGGCTCCCCTCTGTCACCAGCCTGGGGGCAGTGATCAGGCCGTCACTGCCTTGGATTAGCTCTGGCATCAGACACAGGAGAGCAGACAGGAGGAGAGAGAGGGAGTCCGGACACCCGTCAGGCTGAGCTATAAATTCCTCACGCTGAGCCACGCAGAGCGAGGGAGAGAACCAGGGGCCCAGATGACGTTCCAGGAAGCAGGCTCGGCCATTGGCCTGCATGTGCCACGGGACTGGGGTGACTGATCAACGCTTCCCCGGACCTGCCATGTGGAGGAGCTATGGGAGATGCTGTCAGGGTGACATCCCTGCATCTGTTGGTCAGGATGCTCATGAGGGGGGACTCCAGGATGGTGGACCAGCTGATCTGGCCTGGGAGTGTGAGGGTGGGAGGCTGGGGACCATCCTTCCCTGGGAACGTGACGGTGGGAAGGAATTCTGCGTGGAGCCAGCTCCAAGGACAGAGATAAAACCTACAGAGCAAAAAGCATGTGCACCAACATATCTATTCCGCAAATCCCTACTGAGCATCCAGCAGCGGTGTCCAACCTTTCGGCGTCTCTGGGCCACACTGGAAGAAGAGGAGTTGCCTTGGGCCAGATGTTAGATACACTGTGACACATAATCACAAAAGAATCTCATGTTTTAAGTAAATTTACGATTTTGTGTTGGGCCACATTCACAGCCATCTTGGGACATATGTGGACTGCAGGCCGCAGGAGCTCAGGCCCTCCCGGGGCTCACAGTCTTCTGAGAAAGACTGTCTGTGAGCACCAGATCAAATGTATCATGCCAGGGAGCATTCGTGCAACGAGGAAAAATCCAGTCTGGTACAAGGGACGGGGGCATGGAAGGCACAGGGGCATGGTGCCGGTCTAACAAGGCAGTCGGAAAAGGCCTCTCTATACAGTAACATTGGAGCAGAGAACCAAATACGGTGAGAAACTTAGGATGTGATTACCTGGAAAAGCATTCCAGGCCAAAGGAACAGCAAGTGCAAAGGCCCCGAGGAAGAAATGGCTAGATGTGTTCTAGGAACAGCCCGGAGGCCAGGATAGCAGAACACGGCGGGCGAGGGGACAGGTGCTGAAGATTCCGATGGGCCCTGCAGGCCTTTGTGCTGTGCTGAGAGCTGTGGGACTGCACCGGGGCAGAGGGGGGGGTTTGAACAGAAGAACGACATAACCTCACTCGAGTTGTTAAAAAGCGCCCTTTGGGCCAATGTGAAGGGCACACTGCAGAGGGCAGGAGGAGAAGCAGGAGACAGAAAGGCCGTAAAAGATGGTGGTGGCCTGCACTAAGGTGTCAGCAGTGTGAAGCGTGACGAGCAGTCAGTTTCTGGGTACGGTTAAGAAAGACTGATGCGCCGAGCTGTGAGACAAGGAGAAGAGTGAGGGAAGACGCCAAGACCGTGGGCCTGAAAAGCTACAAGAACGAAGTCTCCATTTACTGAGATGGAGGTGACGACAGAAGGGGCAGATCTGGGGTAGGGAGGACATCAGAAATTTTACCTGGGGCATAACAAAAGTCTGAGATGCGCCCAGACACACAGGGAGACGTCTGAAGGCAGAGTTTAGAGATGTCTGAGGTGGGTGGGGACGTGAGTGGGAGCCACTAAACGGGTGAAAGGCAAGTGAAGGGGACAGAGGAGAGCAGGGAGCAACTCAGTGGAGCCGGCAACTGATGGCTGAGAGCACTTTAAGGCCCGGAGGCTGCGCCCTGAGAAGGAACCAGTCAAGAGGATGGGGAGGAGCACTAGGGAGGTTGGCGGGAAACCAGACAGGGGCGGGG